TTTTCGGAATCTTTTTCCGGCAAAACATCACGCCGCGATTTTAAGGTCTAAGTTAAGACGTGTAACCACCGCAATTGAAGACTTAGCTTGTAACAATAATTTGCTTCTTGTCTTCGTATTTAATTTGTATATATCACATAGAAAATCAATATATTTTAAATCTCTAAATACGACTGAATTACATTAATTGTTTAGTTTGGAGAATTAAAACCACGACGTGATTAAAATATTTTAAAATCATTTATCTTCATGTCTAACATGAGTGACTCTCCTGTGATTGTCTCAACTCTCACGGATCCTTAACGGTAAGACTACGGATTATATCGAAATGAAATGTAATACTTATATTGAAAAAATAATACTAATCAAGAATAAAATGTTTGTTACTCATAGAAAAAATATAATACTTTTAAATTAAAATGTAAACATATTATATTTTCCTCAAAATTATTACACTTCATAAATTGCTATTACCAAGCACAAAATCTAATTGCTAAAGTCAAGCACAAAAGTGTGCATTGAATACACCCTACCTTGTGACCCTGATAAAGGACTAGGAAGTAAATCAGCCTAACTTGTCCATAATTAACCGACACAAACTAAGAAGGCCAATAGGTTGTTCTCATTGTGAGTCAATTTTTGGAACCTAGCATTCTTAGCTTATTGCTTGGTAGTCCCTATATTCTAGACTTATTATCAATGTTGTAAAAATCGGCCTAGGCGGTCGCCTAGGCACTGACTAGTCGCTAGGTGCTCTAGGCCTAGGCAATTTCAGACCTAGGCGGCTTTTAGTCGGTTGACAGACTAACCCATAAGCGCCGACTCAGTCGAGTTGAGCACCTAAATCCGCCGAGTTGGGCGCCTAACTCTACCGAGTCGGTGCCTAACTCGGCCTAGTTGGCACTCAACTTGGTCGTGTGATTTTTTATTTTTTATTTTGCCTGCTTGGTTACTCTTCTTCTATATTTCTCCCGCCACATACTCAACTAACTATCTAACATATGCAATTGAATAGTTTGGGGGATTATAACAGTCTAACAACTAACTATTTAACATATGCAACGTTGCTTATTATATTCCCAGGTGTCCTTAGACTCCGAAATCCAAGTTCAATGAATAAATATAACAAACAAATTGAAACAAAAGTAATTTTCTTCTAACCACCTTGAGAAAATGGCAGTTCCAGTTCATTAGTTTTACTAAAATTGTAGACTCAGTCTATAAATTATTACTTTATACAAAATTCTTATTAATTATGTTGAAAGAGGTAATTTCAACCCATTACTTATAGATTTTGTTAACATTAACAATTTATTTTAAATTTCAAATACTAAAAGGCAAATTGATTATTTTGTAAAAAATTTTAAAACTCTGATCCATGAGTCTTCATATATACGCTACTCTTATGCAAAACCTTCGCTAAATACTGTCGAGAAATCTGAGAAACAAAAATGACAAGCAGGATTTTACCTTTGGTAAGTTTTGCAATTGTCTATGGTTTGTAATAATGTAATTTATGTTTTAAAATTATGTACTTTATGAGTTATAAAAATGTATTTTTAGTAAGCTCTCAGATGTTGATGAACTAGCCATTATGTTTTAAGATAATAGACATTATGAGTTAGAATAATGTACTTTATGTGTGAGAATAAAGAACCTTCTGCAACCCAACAGGGTAGCTCAAGTGGCAAATGAGCTTTCTTTGTGGGGGAGAATTCAGAGATAATTTGGGTTCGATTCCCACAAGTGACGATTCCCTCTGTGCCAACTTCTATGCCTCTCGGAGCGAATCGGGTGGACCTGAACTATTAAACGGATAGAGAAAGACTTGGACCATATTGTGGTTTACATCAAAAAAAAATTAACGGTGCCGTCTCTTCTTAAATGAGGATACATCGTTGTTTTGACTATGTGAACTACGGTCTACACAATAACGATTGACACCCACGGAGTTTGACTTTTACTCGAAAAAATTTAGTTCAAACTTTTTAATATACGCGCGGCTTCTATAAGGTATGATTTGTCCATATAATTATACTTATATTAAAAGCGATCATTTAAATTATATATAGTCCAAACTTTGGCGTAATCCATTTGCCAGTTGGCCGAAAGGAGGGTAGAAGGGAGATGAAATTGATATAGACATTTCAACTTAAAGTCTACCAAGATTGGTGGTTAATTAGGGTTGACTGACAGAGTCCACCACACGTGATACTTAATACGCGTCAATCACAGCGCACCCCTCCACGGCGGCGGTTGGTGTTGGTTAGCCGGAAACCTAACCATGGACTTTCATGTTAAACTTTGACTCCAAAAAAACCGCAAGGTTTTATTAGTAAGTCTTTTATGAAAATCTTTAGTTATAAGTTTAATTAAGTTTCACTAAAAATGACCCTTATGGTCGGTGACATGAATTATTGACTCTTCTAAATGGGAAGTTATAGTTTAAATCTCAGTGAGAGCGGTATTGACTTTTTTTGTGTTTCAATAGAGGTATGATATTGACTTTTTGTGTATGAGAGAAGAGATACTACATACATTATAACAGAGTTAGTACTACATACTCAACAAAAAAAGTTTCACTAGAAATAAGACTGACTCAACCTAATGAAGCACACAGAGTCAACAACGCCTCGACTGAAGCTCGATCTCATGACCTTCCACATGGGAGATGTCACTACATGTCATCTGAGCACAAGGTGAGAGGTCCAATTGAAATTTTACTATGAATAATTTAAGTGAGGCATTCATATATAAGAATGTCATTGGAACCCTAGTATATATAGATTAATGGTGTAGTAATAATTCTATAAGGATTTGTGGGTTACAATTCTATTAAGACTTTTAAGATAAGACTTTAGTATTAGAATTAGACTAATGTTGTAATTATAATTCTATATTAGACTTTAATATTATCCCATTTTCACGTGATAGGCAATATAAATGGTGAATTAATGGGATTTATAATAATATTAATGGAGAAGATAATATTTAATGAAAAAATTAACGGATAATTATATAATTAAGGATAAATTAAGAAATTTCATGGAAAAATTTAAAAATGAACAATCTAAACTATTCATTTAATTTGATAATTTGACAGATATTTTTTCTTTAACTCTTATTAATATAGTAGATAGATATTGTATGACTAGATATGTATGGAACAATGTGACCATATAGTACGTATATTATACAAATTTAACCGTACCAGCCTTGTCCGGATGGCTAAGCTACCTATACATACCACTCGCCTTCTGGTTCAAGACCAATTCATGCAGTCTTTCTTTAATTTTATATTTTATCATCATAATATTTTTTTAAACAAAATTTTAATTTTTATGAGATTTAATTTATCTCAATAGTAAATGGTAAGGAACTTATAAAACACAAATAATACCCAAAACTTTAGTCTAGTTACATACACATGACATTTTTTTTATAAGAGGTTTTAAGATTTCCTTGTTTGGGTTTTGTACGAGAACAAACTTGAATTGTGTGCTATGAACATTCATAATAGTGGAGATATTTTGTGATTTTTTGAGGAGTTTTTGTAAGTGTGATTCGGAAATTAAAGAGAAGATGAAAAGAGAAAAAGAAAAAAGAGAAAAAAAAAACACAAACTGATCTGTTATTAAAAAAAAATAAAAATGCAAGCACCCGACTTTGACTTTGCTGTGCGCGAAACGCGCATAACCTTGTTTCTTTGTCTGATTGCTTTACTGTTCCAATAACTTTGTTTTGCCAAGCATACAAATTGTTCTCTTTCCATTTCCCTCCCCACCATGTCATACTCTATTGTTCCAAAAACTTTCAAATATCTATTGATGTTCATACTCTAAGTAGGACTAATTAAAAACACAACTTTATTATATTTTGTAACTTTAAAAGGTAGAAACTAAAACAGCTAGCGAGGTATAACAATATACAAACCTATTAATTGTCAAATTTTAAATCTTTGAATATGATTTCTTTTTACCAATAAACAAAAATGTTATCATTTAATGAAAAATAATTCTTTTCACAAATAACACACAGGTTGTTGATAGTAACTTTTCATTATCTTCTATTCTTCTGAGATGCTGACACCTGATTTTGCGTATGTTAGTTTTTATTGTTGCAATTCCATGAGTCATATGTCCAATTTGTTAATAACAAATAAATGATAAATATTCATTACATAGATCTCAATCTATTGTACTGTATTTGCTTTAATTAATAACTGTACGTTTATCACAATTCAATTGCAAGTAAATTGATCGTTATGATGCTGTTGCTTCAATTCACAAAGTTACAATATTTATTACTTCTAAAGTATATATATATATATATATACACACACACACACACCTCCTCTTTAATCTGTTTTCTTCCCCACTTTATTCTTGATTCTCCCATTCGTTCTTTACACGAGAGTTAACTGTCGCTGAAAATAATGCTATTTTAATATGAGATTGTATTAAAATTATATTTAAATTTAATAATGAGTTTAGTGTTATTATTTGGTAATTAATACAAGATACATCTCACATTACTTTTATAAAAATTATGAAAAACAAAAATCATTCGGCAACGGTATAATCAACACAATTTAATGGAACTACCATGAAAACTACTGATGATTATGTTAATATAAAAGTACACATCAAAGAAAAAGTAAAACAAATATCAAAAAAAAAAAAAAAAAAAAAAAAAGAAAAAGTAAAACATGGTATTCTTGTCTTTTGTTGCATACTTACATATGCATCTTCACTAGCCGTTGGCTGGCCAATTCAACACCTTCTCACCTCATTATAATAACAAAAACTTTAATTTCCCTTTCTTGCACTCCCAAACAAGCATTATATTACAACAACACACCAAGTCCAACACCACTTCATAAACACCCAACAAGTTTAATATTGGCAAAAAAGTTTGCTTAGAGGTATTATAAATACCCATTCTTGTCCAAGAACTTGCTCCAACGATCCACACAAATTCAATTCTAGCTCGACCTCATGATGGACTGCATAGCCTTGCCAGTTTCAATCTTGAAAAGGCGATTCTCGAGCCATCGGCTAGGTTATCAGCCACTGTCTGAGGATGTTTTCGGAGAATCAGATAGTCCAGTCACGGTGGTGGTCGGGAAAGAGAGGAGGGAGTTCTTGCTGGATCCATTTGTGCTGGAAGAGAACCCTTTTAGGGTGTTGATTGACATGCTAAGGAAAGAAGATGGGAGGAAAGTTAATTATGTTGAGGGGTCTAAACATAATAAAGTGATATTTATGGATGTGGATGCAATTTTGTTTGAGCACATGTTGTGGTTGATGCAAAATGATTGTTCTTCATTGTTTCAGCTCAACCTCAGAGACATCATTGATTTCTATGCTCAAGATGTTTAGAAAGGGTTACTGTTAGCAAAGATTACATTATTAATTAAAAGGTACTATAATACAGTATTATTATTAATTTTTATATAGTTTTTGATATTTAGTTTTATTTAAACGCAATAACTTAATCTTGAAGTAGAGCATCATTCTGTTGCAGAATATGTAGTCCCAATTATCTGAATTCAAGTAGGAATAGAATTGCTCATAAGTTTATGTAAATCAAATGTGATTTGATTCTCTTTTGAGAATATATAAGACTGGTTAGTAGTTTAAGGTGTTTTTTTTGTTCAAAAATGAGAATGTTGAACTTGTAATCTTAAGTTTATTAAGTTAATAGTCTGACCAACTTGTCTTGTGAAATTTCTCTTTGATGTGAAGGAGACGATACATTAAGCGATTACAACATTTGTTAAATCATTATATAAATCTTTTTGTATGAAATTTAGGATTTTCTACAATTTGTCTCGTGTGACGAAGAAAGAACTAGAGATGAGAGATTGGTGAGGTTCTTTTGCTAACATGATTTTTCATCCAAAATTTTTGTAAAAAGTTTTTGTTTTGTTTGTTTGTTTTTTTTGTTTTTTTTTAAGGTGATGGTGCGCGTTCACTAATGTTGCCTAGCTAGTGGACACATGCAGATGCATTGTCTTGGGTAGTCGCCAACTACCAACTATTTTTTTTTTTTTTTTTTTTTCTGATGGACAATTTTAATTATAATGTCGTTAAAGTGCACAAGTCAATTGTAGTGATAGCGTGCAAAGCAAGGATCGAACTCACAGGGAATTCATATAGTACAATTTATAGACTTAAAGACAATTAAATTTCTTTAAAAAAAAAGACAATTAAATTAACTGACGTAACAATTTAAAAGTGTTAGAAATAAATATCAAAGATAAATAATCAACTCAAGTGCAAGATAATTAAATTCATTCCGAATGCTACCGGTGGCTTGTGGTCCACTGGTATCGAATTGCTCCCCTATGTGGGAGGTCTAGGTTTCGAGCCTCAGTGTAGGCATAGATTGTATGGGTATCCCCCTTCCTTTGTAATAAAAAAAAAAAAAAAAAAAAATTCATTCCGAATGCAAAATAATTAAACCCAAAACTCAAAGAAAGGCTAATAAGCAAATAAATTACGAGGAAGCAGAAATGACATCAAGAAAGATTAACAACAGAATAGCTCGTTATATCGTGCACTAGGGCACACATAGCAATGTGCGCCCCGCGCCTTCCAGAATATCAGGTATAAAATTGTGTCCATTCTATTATATAATTTTGTACATTCGAAATATGGGAATTTTCTATTATATAATTCTGTGCATTTTATTATATAATTTTGTGCATTCTAAACATGAGAATTTTCAGTTATAAAATTTTGTGTTTTCAGGTATAAGATTCTGTATATTTAGGTATAAAATTCTGTGTTTTCAGGTATAAAATTATGTGTATTCTATTATACAATTTTGTACATTCGAACATGAATTTTTTTTAAGGAGTTAATAGCAGACACGCGAAAAGGTCCAAAACGATATCGTTTTTGGCCAGGGTGCACAATGCATTGTGCGCCTAGGTGCCCAGTATAATTTGCCACGGAATAGAAGGTTCTGCATCGGATATCTCTCGTTCTATCGCTGATGTTGTTAGCGAAAGAAGAAGAACAGTATAGATTTAAATCGCAAATTATATCGTGCACCGCGGTGCATGATCGATCATGCGCCGCGCATCAAAACAACGTTGTTTTGTTTAATGAAAAGAAACAGAATCTTCGCAAAAAATAACTTTATTCTTCAGTTTCATTTTGTATACACTGCAGTTTCAGTTCAATATTTATACACTCAAATATGTGAAAATGTTATTTAATTTTATTTTATATACACTATAGTTTCCTTAAAACACAACTACATGATCATTTCAATATAATTACAGCTTCATTGTACAATATACACTCAAATATGTGAAATGTTATTCAGTTTCATTTTATATATACTGTAGTTTCATTTCACCACAACTATAGTATCATTTTGATATAACTGCAGCTTCATTTGATAATATAAAAATAATACGTGAGACAGTGTCAGTTTAGACACACTGTAGTGTCACTCCATTATAACTGTAAAAACGATGCCTTTTTGACGCGCAGTGCATTATCGATTATGCACCGTGGTGCACGATATAACGACGGGATTTAAATGAATTGGGCTAAATACTTGACACAAAATACTAATAAAGACAAGTTAATTGATTGGGCTTGGCTAATGGCAGACGTTATGCCATGGAACCGTGTTCACCATTCATGGTGAACACGGTTCTAACGGTGTTAGTACACCGTTATTTTTTTTTTTATTTTTTTTTAATTTTTTTTTAAGTTAATTGCGTGACTTTTCTTCTTTATTTTCACATTTTGTGGTTTCACTTTAATTTGAGGTGAACAAAGATTTCGGACATTCATAAATTATGAATTCATGCCTGCACATTCACTTTGGAACCATGCCTACACATTCCCGTCCGAAATCACGGACATTCATAAATTATGAATCCATGGCTGCACATTCACTTTGGAACCATGCCTACACATTCACTTTGGAACCATGAGATTATGAATTTTCTGTTATAATATTATGAATTTTCTGTTATGAGATTATGAATTTTCAGTTATGAGATTATGAATTTTCTGTTATGCGATTATGAATTTTCTGTTATGAGATTATGAATTTTCATTACATTCATAATTTCGGACATTCATAAATTATGAATTCATGCCTGCACATTCACTTTGGAACCATGCCTACATATTCCCGTCCGAAATCACGGACATTCATAAATTATGAATCCATGCCTGCACATTCACTTTGGAACCATGCCTACACATTCACTTTGGAACCATGAGATTATGAATTTTCTGTTATAAGATTATGAATTTTCTGTTATGAGATTATGAATTTTCTGTTGTGAGATTATGAATTTTCTGTTATGCGATTATGAATTTTCTGTTATGAGATTATGAATTTTCATAAAATTCATAATCTCATAACAGAAAATTCATAATTTGATCAAACGCGCGCCGTTAACTCCACATCCGCGATTTTTTTTTTTTTTTTGGCCTAAAAACGACGTCGTTTTGCCTTGTGTTCACCATTCTCGGTGAACACGATTCCATGGCATAATTTGCGGGCTAATGGACTAAAGACTACAATTTATTAACTAAAACTAAACTAATAATAAAAATACCCAAACAACATTAATTAATTATTAACATAAAACAAAATAAATGCATAATTAATTAAAATAACTAATGAATTATAAAAAGAAATTATAAAAATTTACAATAAAAATAATAACTATCACTTCCTCTTTTAAAAGCTGCAGAAAACTTAATCAATCAGGTTTCTCTAAAGTATTGTAATTAATTTTCATATTAAAGTTCCTATATTAGTTAATCAATCACGATATGTTACATTATATGAAAAATTTATCACTAGAATTACAGTTATCATTTTTCATGTTATAAATCAAAAGTATCATTTAAAATAAAATAAAATCAGTAAATAAGGGAATTAATTAGCATGTAAAGGTACTTAATTTGTACGTTAACGGCGGACTGTATTGCTGCCTTATTGTGCCGTTACTTTCATATCAAATAATCGAAATATTGTTCCAAAAAAAAGTTGAATCCTCAACCTCAAGGGTCTCCATACCCCGGCTTGATAGAGCATATGGGAGTATGTAAATCATAGTAACTCAACTGAATCACAGAAGCTAGACATTTGCTTACTGCGCACAAGGAGCCCGTTCACTTTGAGAGCTAAAGTTGCTCCCAGGCTGTCGCTGGTGAGACTCAATCTCTGATCATTCTTTCCAAATTTTATCCCTATGACTAACTGATTTGCTCATGCGCGCAAATATTTGCAATATTGTCATCCTGCAGATGCCACAGTTGAATTAATCGTCTCATGCACACATGTGTCTTTCATTCTTAAATATATTATTTTAAAGGGAAAATTGCGCTTTTAATATTTGATATTTTTAAGAGCACTAGGTGTGTGTTCAACAAATTATTGTGTGGACCATGGTCCACATAGCTGTGTGAATTATAAATGTAGTATACAATTTTAACATACTAAACTTATATTATTTGATAATATATAAAAAATCATGTACTTTCAAATAATGTACTTTATGTATACAATTACAAATAATATACTTTTTATTTATGGTTCACACAAATGTGTGAACCATGGTCCATGGAGTAATGATTGTGTATGTAATGAGCATGCCCTAACTATAAAAGATATCAGACTAATTTCCATTCGCACCAGACGAGTCCAATTAAGGGGCAAAGTGTTAGTTAGATTGATTTTTTCATATGAGAAGAAAGTTTGAACTTCCGAGATTTCTTAAAGGATGAGAGTGCACAGTCATGCCAACCAAATTCGTTTAATATTTGAGTTATAGGGCAAGTATAATTAATAATATAGCGTTGTAATAATATCCCTAATTAGTCATCAATGTGGTGGCTTATTTAGTCCTTCATGGATAATTAGATGTTATTTTGGACTGAAATTAACGCTAAACAATATTAATATAGAAATGGATAAATCATATTTTCAATATATTCATCTCTTATGTTTGTAGTTTAGTACTCTATTACTTGATACGTGAACTACTATTGTACTCACAATTTTTGCAATCGAGTACATATGGGTAAGTTATCTACTATCTACTATACTAATAAGAGCTCAAGAGAGTTAGGCCTATAATGGGCAGAAAAAATGGCGGTTAAATTTTTTAATCAAATGAATGACTCAGTTTGATCAGATTTTAATTTTTCCTTAAGATTTCCTAATTTATCCTTAATGAATATGATTTTCCGTTAACTTTTCCGTTAAATATTATCTTTTCCGTTAATGTCTGTTAGTTCACCGTTAACTTACTCATTGATTTCAATATAAGAAAGGTCTTAGGTCGAACCTCATCCCAATCACAGTTGGCATAATTAGTACTCTATTTTACTCTTATTAAATACTCCGTAATAATTTAGTAGCTACAACAACAAATAATACATATGCTTTCTTTAATTTAGAATTATGTGTCTACAATGTCTTTATTCAAAAAAAATTATTCATTATTTATAAATTAAATAACAGAAATAATTTCATTAGTTATATTGTATTTATTTTTCTCCAATATAAAAATTCTTTACATTCAAATTCATCAATTGATTATATTCGCTACATTGTCTCTACAGTGCTTTATTTAAAAAAAAAATTATTCATTATCAATAAATTAATTAAGAGAAATAATTTTATTAGTTATATTGTCTTTATATTTCTCCAATGTAAAAATTCTTTACGTTCAAATTCATCAATTGATTATATTCACTATATTGTCTATTATCTTTTTTGTGCACTATTTTTTAATTAAAGATCAAAGTTATAATACAAAATTGATGGATTTAATTCCCCGGGGGTAGCCCGAATTATTAAACCCGGATAAGTATACGTACGAAATAAATAATAGGACGCAGAGATATAATAAGGTCGCGGGGACCGTAGGTCGCAGGGACCGTATATTGTATTAATTATCGCTAATAAGCTATTACAAGGCTTGATTAGGACAATAAGGCTAGAAGATAGCAATTTAGGAATCGATTGTGTTGTGTAATGATCTGGTCCCCTGTTAGGACAAGAGGGAGTCCTTTTATATCAGCTCAAACTCCCCAACCGTACCCCTAGAATCGGGGTTAGTTGGATCGGCCCGCCTTGACCGCGCCCCCCCCGGGACCGGGTCCAAGGCGGGCCAACTCGGCATGGCCGAGCTGCCGAGCTCGGCCTAGCCGAGTTCAGCCGACTCGGCAAGGCCGAGCTGCCGAGTCCATGGTGGTGGGCTCGGGTGTACCGAGCCCACCCGTGGCCGGACTCGGCCCAAGGCCGAGATGCCTTGGGCCGACTCGGCCACGGCCCACTTGACTGGGCCGAGGGGCTTCTCGGGTCCGTCTCTCCGGGTCGGTTCGTTCCGGGTCCAATATATCCATCACGAGTCCCCCACTCTCTTCGTTGTGATAAGTCGACAACGATAGAGAGTAGACACCTTGCGAGCCGACTCCTGTGCGCTTGTCCCGAGTTGAAAATTAGCCGACCTCTTGTGACCGAGCTCACCATGACCGAGGCACCTTGGGCCAAGCACGGGGCCCAACCACTATGTCCCGGGTCTATTCCATACTTCCTTGTTCCGCTTTCCCGGGTCGGTTTGCTCCAATCATAATATATCCATCATGAGCGAGACTTCTTCTCTTCCGCATTCCTCTTTGGCCGACTTTGGTGTGACTCCATCGCAATCGGGACTTCTTCTCTTCCGGAAGAACACTAACAAGTCTTGGACTCCCTGACATCGTGTATGAGACTTTGATTTCTGAGTTCACTTTTTGGGCGAGCTCATGAGGTAGTCGTCCTCCTCTTGGGTGAGCTCATGAGGTTGCCCCTCTTGGGCCGAGGTGCCTTGTGCCGAGGCGTCTTGGGCCGAGGTTCGTTAATGAAGGAGAGTAAACACGAGTCGTACTCCATGGGTCCGAGCCCCACACGGCCGACCCCAACGTGGCTGATCCCAACGTGGCCGACCCCCCAACGTGGCCGACCCCAACGTGGCCTGCCGCCCAACGTGGCCGACCCCAACGTGACCGAACCCAACGTGGCCGACCCCAACGTGGCCGACCCCAACCTCAAGGATTAGACTTGATAGCGACTTGATTAGCGTCATCCCTTCTTTATCATATGGGTTCCGTCTTCCGCTCTACCCTCCGAGTGGTGGCCGTAGCCGAGACCCTCGTGGCCGAGTTGCCAGGACTCGGCCTTGGCCGAGTTGCTGGGACTCGGTCGTGGTCGAGTCGCTGGCAACTCGGCCTTGCCCGAGTGGGATCTTTGAACATTAGGCCCGGGGGCTCTTCCGTCGGGGTTGGTACGCGAGGCTGGACCTCGTTCCCCCTTAGGGTATGTTAGCCACGATAGTCGAGTCCCTGTCGGACTAGACCCTGGGGCTCCTCCGTCGGGGTTGGTACGCGAGGTCGGACCTCGTGCCCCCTTAGGGTATGTTAGCCACGATAGTCGAGTCCCTGTTGGACTGGACCCCGGGGCTCCTCCGTCGGGGTTGGTACGCGAGGTCAGACCTCGTGCCCCCTTAGGGTATGCTAGCCACGATAGTCGAGTCCTTGTTAGACTGGACCCGGGGGCTTCTCCGTCGGGGTTGGTACGCGAGGTCGGACCTCGTGCCCCCTTTGGGTATGTTTGGGGAAGTCGGGTACAAAAACTCCTTCCTTCGCGATGGGTGAACAAGAAAAGGTGTTTCTTATTACATAACTTTTAGTCTGTTCATAGCAATGGAGGGGGCCTGCCGCCTCCTATGACATTATTTGCAAAACACTAATGGAGGTGACGCTAACTCCGTACGGTCGAGTTGGTCTGCGGTGGATCACTGGTAATACCTCAACAAATGCTCCGAGTTCCAAACTCTAGGTATCTCCTTCCCTTTGGGGTTCTTGAGTTTGTAGCTGCCGGGACGGACCACCGCTGCCAGCATGTAGGGGCCCTCCCAGTTTGCCGCGAACTTCCCTCCGGCTTGGGGTTGGCTTGCTTCTCTCCTTCGGAGCACATAGTCCCCTACTTGGAAATAACGGGGTTGCACTCGTTTGTCGTGGTAGGACTTGGTTTGCCGCTGGTAATTTTCAGCTCGGATAGAAGCTGTCTCTCTTCTATCATCTATCATGTGGAGGTCGGCGCTATGGCGTTCTTCGTTGGTGTCGGGGTCATATTCTTTCTTCTCGCCGGGAAGGTATGACCGCCTCCGCGGGGGCTCGGGCTTCAAAGCCGTAAGCTAACGAAAACGGTGTCTCCCCGGTGGCCCTTCTGGGGGTGGTGCGGTAGGCCCATAGGATGGCATCGAGCTCCTCCACCCATGCTCCTCCTGCGGATTCAAGTTTCTTCTTCAAACCGTTTACTATGGTGCGGTTGGCGTTCTCCACTTGCCCATTGGCTTGTGGATAGCAAACGGCGACTCGGCTATGGTTGATGCGCCACTCGGCGCAAAATGCCTCGAACTCTTGCCCTTCGAATTGGCGCCCGTTGTCAGTGATGAGTTGTATCGGGACCCCAAATCGACATAGAATGTCTTGGTAGACAAACTGTTTGCACCGGGCACTTGTGATGCTTGCCAGCGGCTTCGCCTCTACCCATTTGGTAAAGTAGTCGACAACCACTATGAGGTACTTTCTTTTGCCCGACCCCATAGGCAGGGCCCCTACTATGTCCACCCCCCACCTGGAGAAGGGGATGACCGAGCTGATCGGTGTGTAGTTCGTGGCGGGTCGGCCGGGGCCGACCTGAAAGTGCTGGCATGTCTCGCAACTCCTTACGTAGTCGGCACACTCTTTGGCCATTCTCGGCCAAAAGTACCCCTGCAGGATGGCTCGACGGGCCATGGTGAAGGCGCCCTGGTGGGCGGAGCAGGTCCCTTCGTGGATTTCTTCCATGACCGACCTGGCTTCGTCCGGGTACAAATAGCGGAGTAGGGCGCCGTTGTACGACCTCTTATAAAGCGTGTCCCCCATGATGACATATGTGGGGGCACGCCACTTCACTAGCTTGGCATCAACTTCATCAGGAGGTAGCGTACCTGTCTGTTTGTACTCCTTGAGGTGGTCCAACCAACAGGGGGGGGGGGGGGGTTGGCTATGTATGGGTAGGACTGGGTAGAATTCCAGACTCGACCTCTCGAAGTCTTCGACTCGGGCAATTTTTGAGATGTGCTCCGGGGCCCCCTGGCTGAGCTTGGACAACATGTCGGCATCCGTGTTTTGGACTCGGGGTACCTGTAGGACTTCATAGTTTATTAGCTGGCCCAGGAGCTGGAGCACCACATCCCGGTACCTCCTCATCCTCTCGTCACTTACCTCGAACTCTCCTGTGACTTGGCCCACTACTAGTCTAGAGTCACATCGGATCTTGAGCTTCTCGACCCTCATGTTTAGTGCTAGTCGGAGCCCTCCGAGGAGCGCCTCGTACTCGGCTTCGTTGTTGGACAGCTTGAAGGCAAAACGAAGGGCGTAGTAGGCTCTGAACCCTTCGGGTGTGATGAGGACGACCCCACCTCCGCAGCCTTTTGGTCCCGAAGCTCCGTCTGTGGACAGAGTCCACCACTCCTCGTCTTCATCTCGGGCCTGCTCGGTGGCTTCCCGGGCAGTGCACTCGACTATGAAGTCGGCTAGTGCCTGCCCCTTGATGGCTGGGCGGGTCCGAAATTGTATGTCATACTGGCTAAGCCGCATGGCCCACTTGACCAACCTGCTGGCCGACCCGAGGCCCTCAACACCGCATCTAGGGGCTGGTTGGTAAGGACGTGAACGGGGTGGGCCTGAAAATAATGGCCGAGCTTCTTTGTGGTGATGTCTACCGCAAATATGGCTTTCTCGACGGGCGTGTACCTGATCTCCGCTCCCCGTAGAGCTCGGCTCGTGTAGTACACGGGCCGTTGGACCCCGTCATCGTCCCGGACCAGCACAGAGCTGACCGCGGCCTGGGAGATGCCGAGGTACAAGTACAAGACCTCCCCCTTGACGGGTTTGGCTAGTGGGGGGAGCGACATCAGATATGTCTTGAGATCCTCGAAAGCTTTTTGGCACTCCGGAGACCACTCGAACCCCTTGGTCTTCTTGAGTACTCCAAAGAATGGCAGAGATCTTTCGGCCGACCTCGAGAGGAAACGACCGAGGGCCGCTAGTCGCCCATTGAGGCGCTGGACTTCCCGGAGACACCGTGGGGGCTCCATGTCCAGGATAGCTTTTACCTTGTCCGGGTTGGGCTCTATGCCTTCTTGGAAACCATGTACCCCAAGAACTTCTCCCCGTGGACCCCGAAGGTGCACTTCTTGGGGTTAAGACGCAGATGAAAACGTTGCATAATTGAAAATACCTCAACTAGGTCGTCCGTGTGCAGGTTGGCTTCGGTGCTCTTCACTATCATGTCGTCCACATAAGCTTGTAGGTTGCAACCGAGGACTTGCTTGAACACCTTGGCTACCATCCGGGTGTAGGTGGCACCCGAGTTCTTCAACCCGAAGGCCATGACCTTGTAACAGTAGACCCCTTCTGGAGTGGTGAAAGCTGTCTTCTCCTCATCAGCTTCCTCCATAAAGATCTGGTGGTACCCCCTGAATGCGTCAAGGAAACTCATGAGGGCACACCCTGCTGTCTCGTCCACCAGGTGGTCGATGTTGGGAAGCGGAAAGGGGTCCATGGGGCAGGCCTTGTTGAGGTCGGTGTAGTCCACGCACACCCTCCAGGTGGGCGGCTTCGGGGCGAGGACCACATTAGCCAACCAGGTGGGGTATATGACCTCTCTGATGTAACCTATCTCCAAGAGGGTGTCGACCTCTTTTTTCACGAACTCCCTCCTGTCTGTGGAGAGGTACCTCTCCCGCTGTTGGACTGGCTTGACCGAGGGGTCCACAGCAAGCTTATGTGTAATCACCTCGCGGCTGAGGCCCGGCATGTCTTCGGGGCCCCATGCGAAGATTTCCTTGTAACTCCGGATCGTGTCGATGATGCGAGCTCGGAGCTCATCCGGGAGGCCGACCCCAACCTTTACGACCCGGTCGGGTCGGTTGAGATCCAGGACGACTTCCTCCGACTCGACTATGGGCTCGGCACGGGGCCGACCCGTCTCATCTCGTAATGCCTTCTCGGCTATGGTGTGGACCTGGAGGTCCTTCTTGCCCATATGGCGGCACGCCCGTAGGTAACAGCTACGACTCACCCTCTGGTCCCCCCGGGCAGTCCCGACCCCGTTCGGCGTTGGGAATTTGAGACACAGGTGCTCCATGGAAATCACGCACCTGAGGTCCTCCAGGGCGGGTCGGCCAAATATCATGTTGTGGGCGCAGCTGATTTTTACAACCACGAACTCGACCCTCCACTTCTTGAGGTGAGGGGAGGTGCCTATCTCCACGTCCAGGCTGATCAACCCCTCTGTCTCGATCGAGTCCCCCGTGAACCCGGACAAGGGGGTCCTAACCTGCTCCAGCTGGTCCCTTGGGAGGCCGAGTTGGATGAACGTGTCGTAGTACATGACATTTACCGAGCTGCCCGTGTCTACGAGCACTCGGTGCACCACCACGTTGTTGACGTCCAATTTGATCACCAGGGCATCTCGGTGTGGTAGGGGACCATCCGGCAGGTCGTCATCGGTGAAGGTGATGGGTTCCCTCCGTAGCTTCTTCTCCCGTGGGGCTTGTGTCACCTCCCCGACGTATAGACTCTTCGCCCATTTCTTCCGTTCGGCTTGGGTGTCGCCACCCTCGGGTCCTCCAAAAATGACATAAATGGACCGCTTCTTTGGGGGCTGGGAGTCTTCTGTCGTCTTGTCGTCCTCTTCAGAGCTTTGGCCGTGCTCTCTCTTGCGGGGTGCCGTGTTGGGTGGCGCGGAGCCACCACTCCCTTTCTTCCATACGTTGTCCCGGCCCTGGCCTTGGGGTTGGCTGGGCCGTTTAATGAAGTGGCCCAGGTAACCCATCTGGATGAGCTCCTCAATTTGTTTCTTCAGGAGGATGCACTCGTCCGTGTCATGACCCTTTTGGCGATGGAACCGGCAGTACTTCTTGTGGTCGCCCTTCGCCGAGATCTTCATGCACTCCTCCTTCGGGAACTCGACGATCCCCTGGTCCTCCGCGTGGGCTAGGATGACACTCACGGGGTGCGTCAGCGGGGTAAGGAAATGTGTGGGGTTCAGCCTGGGTCCCTCGGCGTGGTTGCGACGATGCTGCCGAGATGCCCTGCCGCGTTCCTCCTGGGGGGCCTTGTCCTTCCGACCTCTCCCTTCTTCCTGCTCCCTTTTTCTCTTCTTGGCAGCTTCGGCGTCAGCATATCTGGCCGCCCTGTCCATCGGGTCGGCATAGTTCTTCGGGGGGTACCGGATGAGATCCTGGTGGAAAGCACCCGACCTCACATTGTTCCTGAAAATTGGTATAGCCGACTTACCATCGAAGTTGGCGACTCCCATGACTTCCTTCTTCCACTTATTGAGATACTCGGCTAATGACTCCGAGCTCTTCTGTTTCAGGTCGCACAGGTCGGCAATCTGCTTCTTTCTTGGTATGCTGGTGGCGAAGTGGGACAGGAACTGCTTGGTTAGGTCCTTGAAGGTGGAGATGGATCCCCCTGGGAGGGACCCAAACCAGTCATGTGCCTGTGCGTCCAGAGTGGCAAAGAATCCCCTGCATAGGATGGCGTCGGTAGCTTCGGTAATCATCATGGCGGCCCTGTACCTGGTGAGGTGCGACCGCGGGTCTGTGGTTCTCGAGTACGCTTTGACGGTGGGGAAACGAAAATCCTTGGGCAGGGGTTCCTCCATGATAGAACTCACGAACGGGGTGGACAGTATGTCATTGGACTCTGAGGACCCGTCCCTTTCATCGAACTTCTTCTGGAGCTCGTCCATCCTTCTCCGTAACTGCTTGACCTCGTCCGGGTTGGAGCTCGGGACTCGGCCATTTGTCTCACCTGTTCGCTCCACCTGGGCGGGCTGTCCGCGTCGCGGGGGAGCTCGGGTCTCACGGTCTGGGGATCTACGCGAGCCCGCCTCCTGTGGCGGTCGGGCTCGGGGTCCGTGACTTGGCGACCTCCGAGTGCCCGCCGCTTGTCGTGGCGGCCTGCGGGAGCACGATTCGGCCGCTGGTGGGTCATTGGCGGCCGGCCTCGGACCCAACCTGTCCCGTGCCGACACGCGCTCGCCCAACCGTTCCAGGGCGGGCCTGGTTTGGGTTGGGGCCCTTCCATCATCACCGTGCTGACGGTCTCGGCGGGAGCTCCCTCCTTCTCGTCTGTCCGTCGGGCGGGGGGAGTTGACTTCTCCTTGTGTGGCCCGTGCCGGAGGTGGCACGGCGCTCGGCCCGCTGCGCCCCCGGGAGAGAGGTGGAGGCGGTATGGCGCTCGGCGGCACGCCCCCTTGGGTGGCGCCTAGGTCGGCTTGTTCCTCTGCCCGGAGGCCCGCCGCAACACGGGCCAGTGCCGTGGAGGCTTGTTCGAAGACCGCCATCCCCTCCTGGATGAGGGCGCGAGTTGGAGCGGTAGCGGGAGCCGTAGCAGCGGGAGCCATGGGGGGTGGTGCACCACTGCTGCGGTGGTTGGTGAGCTGGGCCCTCAGGTCTCCTCCCGACCTGTTGGAGGCGGCCGGTTGGACGCTGGGGGCCCTGTTGGGGACGTTCCCGTTTGCGACGAGCTGGGTGCCGCGGGAACCGTTGGTGTGGCGAGAGTTGGATCTCGATCTCGTCATCGTTGTCAATGAACAATAATGGGGAGAGCGCTTAAGCTTGTACAGCAGCTCTCAACAAGAGCACCAATGATGGATTTAATTACCCGGGGGTAGCCCGAATTATTAAACCCGGATAAGTATACGTACGAAATAAATAATAGGACGCAGAGATATAATAAGGTCGCAGGGACCGTATATTGTATTAATTATCGCTAATAAGCTATTACAAGGCTTGATTAGGACAATAAGGCTAGAAGATAGCAATCTAGGAATCGATTGTGTTGTGTAATGATCTGGTCCCCTGTTAGGACAAGAGGGAGTCCTTTTATATCAGCTCAAACTCCCCAACCGTACCCCTAGAATCGGGGTTAGTTGGATCGGCCCGCCTTGACCGCGCCCCCCCCGGGACCGGGTCCAAGGCGGGCCAACTCGGCATGGCCGAGCTGCCGAGCTCGACCTAGCCGAGTCCAGCCGACTCGGCAGGGCCGAGCTGCCGAGTCCACCATGGACCGGCCCGGCAGTGGCCGAGTCCATGGTGGTGGGCTCGGGTGTACCGAGCCCACCCGTGGCCGGACTCGGCCCAAGGCCGAGATGCCTTGGGCCGACTCGGCCACGGCCCACTTGACTGGGCCGAGGGGCTTCTCGGGTCCGTCTCTCCGGGTCGGTTCGTTCCGGGTCCAATATATCCATCAAAAATAATGTTATATATTTATTTACCAAGTATTTTATTAATACCATAAAAAATTAAAAAATATATAATTAATAAAGCCAATCATATTAACTACTTTGAGGGATTTGTTGACAAAGAGATCTGAGTATTCAAATCACACAACAAATTGAAGTGAGAACTACCTTGCCATGTCCTTGTTTGACAATCAGCAGTTAGCGGTTAGCGGATTATATTAGCGAATTTGACCAGCGAATTATATCAATGGTTGGTAAAAGTATATTTGAAAAAATTAGTTGTTTAGATTAACATGTAAAATGAGCTAAGGGTATAATAATAATAATAATAATAATAATAATAATAATAATAATAATAATAATAATAATAATAATAATAATAATAATAATAATAATTGTTTTAAAAAATAAAAAAAAATTAAGCCAATCATATTAACTAATTGGGGGATTTATGGACAACAAGAGTATTCAAATCACAGAACAAATTGAAGTGGGAAACTATTTCGCAATGTCCTTGTTTGGCAATCAGCAATTAGCTCTTCAATATTAATATATATTTAATATTTTATGCCATAATTTTTATTTTCTCTCCTTATGTCCCGTATTTGGTTTCAACCATACCTATACAATTATTTTATTGACAATTATAATCAATCTTGACTCTATTATCTTGCATTTGTAATCTTAGAATTGCCTATTTAAATACGCAAATTTAACATTCAATTATCTATGCATGAACAATTCCAATATAATCTTGTCTTGATATATTTAAAGTACTTATTAAAAAAAAAATATTGGGCATTATCCCAATCGCGCAATGCGCGTAAAAAACTAGTTATATGTATAATTATGAAGTTGTATATATAATGAAGAAAAAAAGAAGAAGAAGAAATTGTCTACGAAAATAGGGGAGTACAATAGCAGTACAGTAGTCTCATGATCAATTAAAAGGATACTGAGTTGCAAAAATAGGGAATGAATAGATAAAATATCAATTTCTCATTTCAATTACAAGCAATAAGGAAGACAATCGTTTTAAAATAGGGAAAATTATAATTTATGGTCCTTCATAATATGTCAATTATCAATGTCACCCCTGAATTATTAGTGGTATAAATGTTGCCCCTCAATTTTTAAAACAGTACATATATTGCCCTTCACGTACCGTACAGGAGGGGCAATATATGTACCGTTTTGAAAATTGAGGGACAATATTTACACTTGGGATGGACAATATATCTATGGTTTTGAAAATTGAAAGGCAATGTTTACACCGTTAATAATTCAGGGGTGACATTGATAATTAACATATTATGGAGGGACATAAATTACAATATTTCTTTTAAAATATAATTAAATTAATCGAAAAGACAAATGTATATATAGTATTATTGTGAGTATGGTATACATTTTTGTACGTAGTAAGGCCAAATGAGGCTAACACAAACGCCAACATACAGCTTCAACTGTAAGTGACAAATTAAATTAAATTATATTAATTACTTCAATTATATTCAATCATCTGAAAATTAAACTAAAGCATGTATATTTTAAATCGCTAAGAGGCAGCTCGTAAGCGTAGCTAAAACGGAAGACGTCCCTCCGGCGTTAGAGCAGGACGCTTGAGCCGGGTGATCTTTGTACATCAAGTTTACATCGTCCAATGTTATGCCATGACACGGTTCTATTTTGCTGCACTCGAATGTCATCGCCACTTCCGTTGATGATGTATCATGTATGCCTTTATACTTTATGTTGCTTATCTTCACTCCCGAGCCCTGTCATAATTAATCATATATGAAACATGTTTAATTAGCATAGGAACATCATTTTCTATTTTTGATGTTTTTAAGGTATGAGGTTTTGAGGCTGGTGGTGGGGAACAAGCTAAGCTAAGGAATTATGTATATTTATAAATAATGAGAAGAGTATTTTATACTTGTTTGGTGTGTGTATATATATAGAAAAACGCTCATATATGGTCATATCATTAGGTGTGGCGGTGTGATTGTATCTGTGTCGTTGAATCATTTTAATCTAACGACAGTGGGTAATTATGAGAATTTGAGAATTTTCGCACGTATTGTTAAGTGGGGGTGTTATGGTAATTACAGTGGCCATTTATAGCGGACGGGTTTCAGAAAACACCAACAGTACTGGCAACATGCACCAATAATGTAATAAAACACACCACAATGAAACACACCAATAGTGTAATAAAACACACCGCAATGAAACACACCAATAGGGTGTTAAGATTGCGTTACGCCCGTTCGGCGATGGGCGAGGCCGGACCTCGTACCGCCCCTAGGACGTTTTAGTGATTCTGGGGTTGGAGTCCTTTGACTCGCGCCCCGAACCCTTCCGTTCGGTGATAGGCGAGGTCGGACCTTGTACCGCCCCTAGGGTGTTAAGATTGCGTTACACCCGTTCGGCGGTAGGCGAGGCCGGACCTTGTACCGCCCCTAGGACGTTTTAGCGATTTTGGGGTTGGAGTCCTTTGACTCGTGCCCCGAACCCTTCCGTTCGGTGATAGGCGAGGTCGGACCTTGTACCGCCCCTAGGGTGTTAAGATTGCATTACGCCCGTTCGCCGGTAGGCGAGGCCGGACCTCGTACCGCCCCTAGGACGTTTTAGCGATTCTGGGGTGGAGTCCTTTGACTCGCGCCCCGAACCCTTCCGTTCGGCGATAGGCGAGGTCGGACCTCGTACCGCCCCTAGGGCATGTGCTCTGTCTAAGTTGGCCGTTGCGGTCCCTCGCGTACGCAGCCGCCACGTCCGTCCTTAGGTTGGCCGACCTCGCGTCAGCCGACCCCGCGCTGGCCGACCTCGCGTTGGCCGACGCTGGGAGGCCGGCCTCGCAGTGCCCAAGTTCTTGATCTCGCATGTGCCCGTGCTCTTCCACCATTCGGGGTAGGATAATTGCTCAACGAAATTCATTATTCCATTACGAACGAAAACAAAACATTATTGTGGGGAGTCGGCTTGTTATTTGGGAGGGGGTAGACCATACAAATGTGCTTCTACTGGTAAAATTTCAGCAAGTGTTCCAAGTTCCACACCCAGTCCACCGTCTTGACCGATGGAGTCCTCAACTTGTAGCTGCCCGAGTGTACTATGGCTTCGACCACATATGGTCCTTCCCATTTCTTGGCAAACTTGCCTCCGTCCTGGGGTCGGCTTGCTTCCATCCTCTGGAGGACGTAATCACCGACTTGAAAGTAGCGAGGTCGAACCCTGTTGTCAAGGTATGCCTTCGATGTCCAACTCCTATAGGACGGTGTCGAACTCCTTCACCCATGTACCCCGTGTGCATAGTAGCTGGGGACCCCGTGATAGTAGCCAAGGACCTCGGGGAGGTAGTAGTCAAGGACCCCGGGGTAGTAGACCCCTCCATGGTCTGTCCGGCCGCGTGCGTAGTCCGCTCGGTGCCGTGTGTGATCCGCTCCATATTTCTTCGCTCCAAGTCCACTCCGTAATTATTCCATCATCAGTCCCCCACT